TTTCCTTTGATCAGAGAGAAAGGGACCCATACAGCTAATGCACAATAAATTACCACGGTGTGATAAATGATTCTATTAGCAAAACAGATTGTTAAGCTCTGATATAACAGATAGGTGGGAGCAGAAGACCATTCATTCTCCCCACGGCACTTTCACAGTTGTAAATAGGTTATTTTATGTGTAAATAACACATTAACACTGAACAATATGTGTGTCCTTTGATAGTGAGCAAATTGGTGCAAATAAATTACATTGGACAAGGAAGTGAACTAACCCAGATATTACAGCAGCTGTTTGGTGAAGTTGTGCTAAAATGACTGAAAGGAGCTGTTGGTACTATAGCTGTCATTCTGCCTGTGCTGGCCCAGTTACACACTAATAGTAAATTATACTATGACATAAAGGTAATAAGGTTGTATTTTAATGATATTTGAGAGCTCATTCAGGAAAGGGCTGAAGCAAAAAAGTCTTTATGCATATTTTATTCAAAAAAGGGTCAAGATATTTATGCATCAACAATTGAAAATTTCAGCTTGCCCGGACTTTATTTTTGAACACTTGATTGAAATATTAAATCATTTAGAATTTGAAGGGCAGAGAATGTTCAAATGACATTTTCCCAAAATCAATGTATCTAAAAATGCTGCATGACAACATTAGTAACTACAAGTCTATCCATAAAGGGGCATTTAAAATCCCATGATGTTTACATCAGAAAATGTGGTCCCACCTGATCAGTAAACAGCTGAGCAGGAAGTTAGGCTATAATATGCAGCAAGATAAGACCAGTTAGTAGAACTGCTTGAAATATATCTGTTTCTCTTAGGCCTGCCAAAGAAAGTGCCAACCCCCACCTGGACAGCAAGTATATAGCCAATTAATACAAGGCTGGTAACCTTCTTGAAAGTGTCCATTTCTCACTGTTGCCCGCTCAGAAACTTGCATAGGCTGACAAAAACTAGCAACCTTTCAGATTGGTGAAATCTTAATGGAGAAAGGGAACTTCCTCCATTTTATTTCTGGCACCGTATCAATGCACCACAAGTAAAATCAGCTGCACACAATGATGGGACAGTACTTACAATGTTGTACAACTGTGACAACCACTGATTGGCAAATGGACCATGAAAAGAATCCTTATTTGCCACAATTGATGAGGAGGCAAAGACTACCTCAATACCACAAATTGAAATCTACTTTAAACAAAAGCATATTACGCCTAATGTCGGAATTACCTCTAAGTTTTTTGACACTGCAATACCATTGTTTCACCAGCAAGCAAGGTGAAATTCTCATTTAATGCAGGATTATTGCAGAATTAAAAAGCCAGTTTTGGTGTCAGAGAGTCACAGAGGTATACAGCATGAAAACAGACCCCCTGGCCCAACTCATCCATGCTGACCAAGTTTCCTGGTTATATCTTCGGTCGTCTCCCTGGAACCCCATTATCTCACTCTCATCTTTTGAAACGCTCCTCGAAAATCTAATCAATGTATTGATTACCTCTCCTAACATCTGACATGGATTGCTATCAGTCTTTGTTTTATAATCTGCCTGGGAGCTGGCGTGGGATGTTTCATCAGGTTGCTGGGTCCTATATAAATGTAGGCTGTTGTAGCAAATGCAAAATCTCAGTCACGTACAAAGCATATAAATCATGAGTTCTTGCTCTTTGTCATAAATTAATGCAATGCTCTATCATGTCCCCCAGAAAACGTCTCCAAGTGTGATGCTGTACCATGAGGTGCTCTATTAGGTAGTCAAGTACAGCAGCTATTGCACACGCTGTGCTTAAGATGCAGTAAATAAAGCATGTGCACATTTAATAACCTGCCAACTTCACTCGCTAAACTCTTACATATTGAAAGGCCACTGCAGTTCCCAGACCCCGTTCTAATGATCAATCAAGGTCTAGTCATTACTTCGATGGGTGAGGCTGGCAGGCTCTTCATTAGAACATCAAAACCAAAAGAAAAAGAAGTAAAAAAAAGATTGAAATTTCCACTTCAAAGATGCCCTTCAATCAGCACCTGCATCACATTCTGCTGGATAGCGTGCAGTTTCTTGGATTAGGATATAATTTTAATGCTCACTAGCCATCTGAGTAAGTCATTACTGTGCTTTACATGATGGTCAGCTGATTGGTTACTGAATTCAGAAGGACTGACTCTTTAAACTTTATTACACCAGACTTTTATCATGTTTCCACTGACATCTTCAAACATGTTAAAAATAATAAGCAGGGATCAAAAAAAGAGCATAAACCCACAAGACCTACCACTTGCTTTCTTTTCAAAGTACTTGCCCCAGATAATCCCAATTTTCTGTATTTTAAAGAAATCAGCCACCAATTCTTTTTTAATGAGAAAGGTAACAGCAAAGTGATGTCTGTTGTGGTCGTTTGCATTTGGCACCATCAATCAGCCCCGAACTCAGAGGACTGACTGAAATGGCTGAGTAGCTGGAGGTCCCAGTCCTTGTCAAAAGACAGAGTTACATTTCAGAGTATCTAAAGAGTGATAAATCTTAAATGTTATATGTGTAGTCAGAGAGAATTGATTTTTCTTCAGCAAATGCATGTTATTTGAGGAAGTGCTCTTTAAGGTTAAGGACAGTCCTGGGTTACGCAGATTTAATGCAGCAGGTTAAATTTTGTGAAAAGTGGAATTGGTGGAGTCTGTCAACATCTACTCAAATCAAAATAAAATTTGATAAAAGTGGATGGGTATATTATGTGGGTTGTCACTCTGACTTCATTGACTCAGCATAGTGTACTTACCTCAGGAGGGCTGGTTTCAAGCCTCACCTGCTCCAGAGGTGTGTGAAAACATGTTTGAACAGTTTGATTTAAATAAAGCTATCCAACCCATTCAACCTATGTGAAATACTTAACCTTAATGCAAAGAAATAGGTAGGAAGGTCCTAGTGTCTTCGACATTTGGGGAGGTGATAGCCTAGTGGTATTACCATTGGACTGTTAATCCAGAGACCCAGATAACATTCTGGGGACCTGTGTTCGAATCCTGCCATGGCAGATGGTGGAATTTGAATTCAATAAAATATCTGGAATTAAGAATCTAATGATGACCATAAATCCATTGTCGATTGTCGGAAAAACCCATCTGGTTCACTAATGTCCTCTAGGGAAGGAAACTGCCATCCTTACCTGGTCTGGCCTACATGTGACTCCAGACCCACAGCAATGACTCTGAACTACCCTCTGGGCAATTAGAGATGGGCAATAAATGCTGCCTAGCCAGCAATGCCCTCATCCCGTGATTGAATAAAGAACAAAAATTTGCCAAGGTAAGCCTGGCACTTTCAAACGAAGAGACACATGTGCTAAGGCCAGAAGTTCCCTGAGCACTTGCTAACCCATCTGTTAACAGCTTTATGAAAATAAATAACATTAACGTATCAATCAATCAATCACTGAGTACAGGAGAGCCCCTTCAGCCCACTGAGCCTGTACCAACAAAACTACTCTAAATCTGCACCAGTTCCTCTTTCCAGCACTTGGCCAATAGACTTAAATGTCATGATGGTGGGTCAGTGGTTAGCCATGCTGCCTCACAGTGCTAGGGACTCATGTTTGCACATTCTCCCTGTGATTACGTGGGTTTCCTCCCACAGTCCAAAGATGTGCAGGTTAGGGTGGATTGACCATGCTAAATTGCCCATAGTGTCCAGGAACATGTAGACTGGGTGGATTGGCCATGGAAATTATGGGACTACAGGCATTGGATAGGAAGTGGAGTCTGGGTGGGAGGTTCCTCATGGAGGTTGGTGTGGACTCGATGGGCCAAATGGCCTGCTTGTACACTGTCGGGATTCTAGACATTTCTCGTGCTCATCCTAGTAATTTTAAAGATCGTGAGGTTTCCTCACATACCATCCAAGGCAGTGTATTCCAGATTTCTACTACTCTTTGGGTGAAAACATGTTTCCTCCAAGCCCATCTAAACCTCTTGCCTTTTACCTTAAAATTACACCCCCTCTTAACATTCTTTTCTAATCAACCTGTTCAGAGATATTATTACACACCTCTGGAGCAGGTGGGGCTTGATGCTGAGCCTCCTGGTCCAGGGGTAGGGACACTACCACTGTGTCACAAGACAGCAATGCCCCTCCCCCACTTTATTGACCCTTCATTGTGGGGAACAGCTGTTTTCTATCCACCCTGTTCATATCCCTCTGAATGCCGTCCAAAAGAAAGGGAACATGCACAGCCAAACACTGAGAACTTCCAAAAGCTCCTTTCATGTGTTCACAGACATCTCAAGTTGGCAATTATTGTGTAACATAGTCTGCTTCCTGGAGCAGCTAAAATACAATAGTTCACTCTATCACTGGTATGGATTTAGTTCTGAACAAACATTTGCAGCGGGGCAGATTATAATGTCTTTTCTATTGGTTTTAAACAATTCTACAGCAAAACCATGAATGAAATGCACTTGAAATTGACTCAATTTTATAGAAATTGCATGATACATAAATGACCAAATAATTAACAAATAATGAAACCAGAGTTCAAAATTATGTCATAACATGTGAAATTCAGGAATCATAGACATGAACGCAACTGGCCAGCACTGGGATTTTGCAAGTCACAATCAGTTATCTTCAGCCCATTGCCCGAATCTAACTCTTGTGATAACCTCACAGGAATCTACTGCCTCCAACACAACTTTTTCACTCAGCTCCTGCATAAAGCGGTTGCATAGCAAAAGAAAACCGGAAAAGAAATGATGGATGCCAGGGTTTACGTTTTGAATGCTTGGAATTACACTGAATTTCCAGCACAGGGTAAGGATGTTTGGTGCAATTGACAGAACGTGCTGGTGTTTTAATCTCCACTTTCCACCCTGGTCTGCCTCATCTTCTGTGCTGTGAGCCTGGGAACATCCTGTCTTGTAAATAGGATGTGCTCTGAGTAAATCAGGACAAGTTTTGGATTTTCTGTGTGCTGGGGGAGGCTCAGTTCAGGTTCCCAAACATACCTCGTGATGCTGCTGAGGCTGCTGACTTCTTGCTAGCTTCTGTGAAGACATCCCCTTCAATAATGGAGCTTTTGGCCTCTTTCTTTTCAGTGGCAGTGGTCTGTGCTTGGGCTGCCATGGTAGCTGGTCATACTTCAGTGGACTGAACCTTGAGTTGCAAGTTCAAAGAAGAGAAAAAGGAAAACTGAATGAAGTGCTCTTTCCACTGTACTCTAAAACCACACAAGACTTTTCTCACTGAGCGATAAACATTTATAAGTTGTGCAATTACAGAATGTGTGAGGAATTCAATAGCTTCTTGCATGAATAGGCACAAAGGCCACTGGCCAAGGTGTTTATTAGTGCACAGGAGTTGTGTTTTTTGCCCCGCCAACTATGATCTCAGATTCCTTCATTTATTGCCATTAAACAGCAAGAATTACAGAGCTAAATAAAAGGCCTGCTAATTTTTTAAATTCAATCACAGGATGTGGGCGTCATTGGTAATGTCAGCATTTATTTCCCGTTCCTAACTGCCCTTAGAAAAGAGGCAGTGAGCTGCCTTCTTGAGCTACTGTTGTTGGTGAGCTTTCTTTTTGATACAAATAACTGACTTCCAGCAAGTCAATCACATTGAGAACGGCATGGATTCATGTTTAGTTCAGATCAGGTGACAAAAACAGATTTCCTTCCTTAAAGAAATGTAGTGAATAAGGACAATCTTGTTGTTTTTTGGGACAGTATTTCTAATCATCATATCACCACTGCTGGTAGTCCACTGGAAATCAAGCCCCACTACGCCCGGTATCATCACAAATGTGGAAAGATTTAATCAACTTATCCAAAGTCTCCAATTTAACTGGCTGACGATCTCAGGTTAAAAGAAAATATAACGGGTCTCTGCACTTAAAGAGGAAACAGCTATTTATTGCAAATTTATTGTTAACCAATGTCAGAAAAGAAACGTGAATTGCTAACTTAACCCTCCATAACTTAAACCTTCCTTAAAACATCCGATAAAATCACATGCACGAACAGGTAGATGAAGAGACAAGCAAAGACACAAATATTATGGCTAGGGAAGAAGCAAGAAAGGTCAGTGAAGCACAGTTCTGGCACCAGTCCATTCACAGCAATCAATGAGATTTTTCCTTCAATTCCATTCTTATTTCTGTCAGCTGTTTGATGAGGATGTAAGGTTGTGGACACTGATTCTAACCTTTCATTCAACTTTTCAGTGTCTCTGAAGGTGTGTTTTTCCACTGATTTCCTTTCAAGAAGGGAATTTGCAGGGGAGTGGGGTGAGGTGAGAGAGAGAGAGAGAGAGTAGCTATCCACTCAGGATTTTTCCTTTAATTCTTCACTTACAGAAGGGACAGAGTGAGACACAGAGCGCAAGAGAGAGAAAGAGATATTTCCTCCTTCACAGGCTGGATATTTCTGCTGTATTGTCCAAACACAAAAATGTAACCATTTGTCCAGGAACCAATCAAGAAGTTGTTATTATGCAGAGTACTTCTGAACAGAAGGGCTGGGTCCTGGTTGAAAATCCAATCAAAAGTCTTTCACTGGATACAAGAACCAAGGTATCTGTCATCCACCCTCGCTACTTGAATAAGGTAATATTGCAGATACAACTCATAATGAGTTCCAATTACCGCCTTTCTAAGAAAAAACTGCAATACCTTCTTCCTTGGCTGAAAGTAGTATAATTTCCCATTTTTAAGTCCACAGCCAGAAAACTAAAAGTGGTCTTTACACTCCTATTTTAGATTTCAATTTAACTATTTGCAATTAAATTCCCTGACTTAGTTTTGGTTTATTTTTTTCTTGGGATAAGGGCATGGGATATGGTGGGCTCAGTGGTTACCACTGCTGCGTCTCAGCACCAGGGACCCAGGTTCGATTCCACCCTCGGGTGACTGTCACGTAGAGATTGTACATTCTCCCCATGTCTGTGTGGGTTTCCTCCGGGTGTTCCAGTTTCTTCCCACAGTCCAAAGATGTGCAGGTTAGGTGGATGGGCCATGCTAAATTGCCCATAGTGTCCAGGGATGTGCAGGCTAGGGTAGATTAGTCATGGGAAATGCAGGGTTATGGAGATCGTTTGGGGCTGTGAGTCTGGGTGGGATGCTCTTTGGAGGGTCGACGTGGGCTCAATGGGCTGAATGGTCTGCTTCTACACTGTAGGGATTCAATGATTCTATGACCTGCAAGACTAGCATTTATTGTCCATTCCTAAGTGCCCTTGAACTGATTGCCTTGCTAAACTATTTCAGAAAGCCGTTAACCATATTACAGTGGAGTTACAATTAGGCCAGACCAGGTAAGGACATCAGATTTCCTTCCCTCAAAGACATTTGTGAACCTTTTCATGACAATCAATGATACTTTCATGGAAACCATAACTAAGAACAGCTTTATATTCTACATTTATTAATTGAATTTAGTTTTCAATAGATACTGTGGTGGGATTTGAACCCACTTTCACAAAGCATGTGAGTTATGAGTGAGATTCAAACTTACATCAACAGATCATTAGTTCGGGCATCTGGATTACTAGACTTTTAACACAACCACCATAATAGTATAATCCCACAATGATATATTGCTGTGTATGCCCTGGACTTGAACCCTGGCAATTTATTTCTGCTTTTATGTGAACTGGAGGCTTTTGAGATAACTTAAAACATCAAAGTAACAAGTCATAATGCTTTTGCTAATCAGGGCAAAGATAATTCAAATCCTTATCATTCTGTCGTATTCAATGTAGAAATATTTTGTCCTGTTGCAGCATTAATGATTCTTCACCATACATCTTGGCTTCTCTTCCCTTTACCACCCAAAAAGAAAGATGGCTGGATGGTTGTGAGGAGGTGAATACAATCTTCACACAAGAGAAGATCTGTCTTTGCCAGGCTCATCTGCTGTTGAAACCCTAATTTACACCTTTGGGTCTCCAGAATTGACTATTCCAATGCACTCCTGGTTTGCCTCTCACATCCTACTGCCTAAAAACCTGAGGCCCCCCAAATACCCTGCCCTAACTTATAATAAGTTCCATTCACTCATCACTTGTGGGTTTGCTGGCAAACACTGGCTTCTCTGGTTTTAAACCTCTCATCCTTGTTTTCAAATCCTACCAGGTCACCATTCTTCTCTAGCTCTACAATCTTCTCCAGTCCTATTAATCTCTGCATTCCTCAAACTCTTGACTCTTTGACATCCCTGATTTTACTAGCTCCACCATGTCATCAGAAGCCTAGCTCTAGAACTTCCTGCTGAAATCTAGCACTTTTAGACTCCAGCTTTAACATGCTTCTTAATTAAAGCCAACCTCAATGAATAAGCTTTTGATTACCTGTCATAATATCTTATGTGGCGCAGTGTCAAATTTTGTTTGATAACCACACCTGTGACATTTAACTAACAGTGCAAGTTGTTGGTATACAACATATTGTCACCAGGTATTCCCCCTAATAGTGAAAGTTTACCCCACATGACTCATCTCCTGATTCCACCAACACCCCGCTCCCTTCCCCCTCACCTAACAACCACTACCATCACTTATGGAGAAAAGTGGTTGGCTTCGCAGTTTACCTAAAGATGGGATGGCTCAATGCAGGGAGTTAATAAAGTCAGATATCATAGCTATACCCAAGAACCACTATGAAGCCAAAGAGCACATGCCGGGCACCTTTACACAACCCCATTCACCAAGCAGTAGATCCTCATCTAGCAACTGGTTTAAGAGCAGTTTGTGAATTGGTTGATTGCTAAACCATTTGCCCAAATTAATTTCCAATGTGAAAAGTAGTCTTTACAATGGACAAATTAAAAATCTACTCCCTTCCACCACACGATATTATCATAGTCAGTCAATGAGCTCCTAACAATCAACACTGTCTGCTAAGTTTGAAAGTTTCAGTATGTAAAAACAGGCAAGCATATGATTTACAATCTTAAATAAAAACCAAAAGAACTGCGGATGCTGTAAATCAGGAACAAAAACAGAAGTTACTAGAAAAGCTCAGCAGGTCTGACAGCATTTGTGAAGACAAATTCAGAGTTAACGTTTCGGGTCCAGTGATCCTTCCTCAGAACTGATTTATAATCTTGTTGGATGACTAAGAGAACTAACTCACAATGAGTGTAAGTTGTTTGCAGACATTGGGAATTGTAAAGAATGGACAAGGAATGGAGTTAGATATAGAAATGATACAGAAGAAAATGGAAGTTGGTCGATGTACTCATATATTTGTGATCTGTAAATAGTCAAAGCAATTATTCCATAAAGTGCATGATGCGCTTGCATCAACATTAATGGATTGCATAATAATTGCAGACTTGTAAATCAATTTACAGTCAGTAAACTACTGTGAATAATCCAATTAGTCATTTTAGGAATTCATTCATTATTGAGTAGGAGCAGATTAGCAATATGGTTTAGGGCACTCTTGTTCCACAGATCTATGATTGGGACTGAATCTTGGCTGGAATTCCAATAACAACAGCCTGTCACAGCAAGTGATGGATGCCACCAGCTCTTAAGAGTGCTTTGCAATGGCCCTGTGGCATTGACTCCATGTGCACTCTGGGGCAGAAGATTTGGCAGAGCTGGCTTTGCCATGCCCCCATAAAGACAGCCATGGGACTGCTTGAACCGTAATGGATCCATTGCCACAGAAACCTAATGCCAGCTACATCAATGTAGAGAAGGTGACACAGCAAGAAAAATTAAAGAGCCACCTCTGCTCGGAGAATTTATTCCACACCTGTGTCCGGACTCTTTTTAAAACACACTAACAATATGCTTTTCCCATTAAAAAAAAAGTAGTCACTAAATCATTGTTAAGATCTCCAGAATATTTTCAAACATTAGAGTTAGAAAGATTAAAACTGTGCGGAGTCAAAGGTGCACAAAGGTTTAAAGTACTGTTTTTAAAAAAATATTTGCAGGGATATAATTCACAGCTTGGAATAATATCAATCTTATGAAAACCATGCTTTACTTCTAATCTGGCAAGTTTTGCTCGTGAGGAGAAGTATTCCATTAAGGCAAGTACACTGAAAAAGTCAGGATTCGTTGAATATTGGTCTGCTCATGTTTATCCTCAGATCAGTTTGATACCACAGATCTGTAATGGAATGACTAATAAGTAAGACATT